GCTTGACGGAATAACTTAGATACTTGTATTGTTCCCAGTTTCTATGACCATTCATGTCCAATCTACACACAGCCTCGTTATTTGCCTCCATCCAAGATGCTGGATGCTGATGTTACAGACTGTTATTGGTGAGGGCTGTGTTATTAAGGTTTTTTCCTTGGAGATAATCTGTTTAGTTCCCCCCCCCCCTTATTTCTCAATGGTTTAAACTGGAAATTTGACTACTTGGGTTGATGGCAGAACTGTAGAATTCACCATTCTGTTGTTGGTCTTCGATCCTGCATTTCAGGGGGTGCAATCATAGAGGATACCCTCAATTCTCAAAGTGTTTTAGTTTTTTTTTTTTGGATTGTCGGAGATGTGTAATATTTATTCGAAAAACTCTCAACTATTTGATAATAAACACTCAAATGATGTGTTATGCTCCAACTCGGATAACAATCGTACCATTAATCATTGAAATGACTTGGTTAATGCTAAAAGCTTTTTAGTTGGACATTTTTCATTGGTAATAATTTGTATTTCGTCATCGTCTTCTTCCTGCAGACTGAGGCTGACAGAAAGTTTCTAGCTGAAAAGGGGAGTGTTCCAATTGATATAGGAAAGAATTCGCACATCAAGAGAGCCATTATTGACAAGAATGCTCGAATCGGCGACGATGTGAAGGTTAGTGTTTATTTTTTCTTTTCTTCTCCATTAATTAGACCATCTCCTTGGGAAAAGAAATGAATGGTGGTTGTAATTTCAGATCATTAACAGCGACAATGTGTAAGAAGCTGCAAAAGAATCGAATGGATATTTCATAAAGAGTGGCATCGTAACGATAGTAAAGGATGCCTTGATTCCTAGCGGAACTCTAGTTTGAGGGTTTTGGTTGCTTAGATGACAAATGGAACATTAATTTTGCATTTGATTAGAAGATGGTCGGGTGGTATAACGTCTTTTCATTTCAAACAGTGTAAAAGACTTCTTTTTATATTTCCATGCAAACTAGACCCAATGATTCATTTCTGCCGAGTCCGGCCCATATAAAAGTGCTACATTATGGGCTGATTCTTCGCTTCACAATGGTTGATCTTTACAAATTTATCAGGTCAATTGGATATTAATTCAGTTGATATTATTTTTAACAATACTTTATAATTTAGCCCCATTTTAGTTGGATTCTTCGAAATTTGTTGAAGTTGGGGGGGGGGGGGGACTAGCAGATTGTTCCATTCTGATATCAACCCATCTCAAGTTAAAAGTGGTTGGATTTGGAAGAATATAAGAGAGAGGAAAGACAAGATGATGTGACCATAGATTCATTTGATTTCCTTCTCATACGTCTAAGTATTCCATCATTATTTATATGATCATATTGGACAAATTCCCTATCAAACATAGGTTAATTCCATTTGGGATTACTACGGATGATGTGTGTGGTCTGTGTGGTATTGATATATGAGTTTAAGATTTTTTTTATTGTTCCTACTCTAGGTAGTTTAGGGAAAAGTTATGCCAACTTACAGGTTGATGCATGGGCCTCTGTGCTGGGGGATAAGCTTCAGCGGGCAGTGGACAATCTGAAGGATAATTCTCTCCTTGTTCGAATCTTTAAGCTGACTTCTACAGAATTTTGTATTACATTTGAGAAGAACATAATCATAACCAATTTAGAGATACTAGATGCTCAATTGATGATATTGTTGAGTGTATAAAAGGGGCCGTTAAGATTAAACTGTATAGCCACTATATAGACGAATGATATGGTAAATATGTAGTGGTGCATTGATTGGGGAACGTTGTAGGGGAGTTTGCCTGTGTTATTGTTCTGGTTTGTAGTAGTTTAGCTGCTTTCTTGGATAAATATAAGAATCTTACTCATAAAAAAATATTTTAAAATTTCAAATTCAAATATATTTAAATATATAATTTCTTTTAATCTTAGAATTTTAAAAGGGAACACTGTATTATATACCACTCAACTTTATATTATGTATCATATATACCAATAAACTTTCAATTATTTTAATTATAACACTAAATTTTAATTTTGATTTTGATTTATATTATACTACTGGGCCGATAAAAATCCAAACAATGTAATGATATGGACAAAACAACATCGTTTTAGTGCAACTATATCATCTTTTGGCACTACATCTTTTTGACCACCATTGATAATGAATCGTCGTCCATCATTGATCGTCTTTCGTGACAAGTCTGGTATCAAAACGTTTATGTTTTACTCCTCTATCTTATCATAGGATTGATTTTCTACGAAACTCATTTAAAATCGATTGGAACTAAAAAAATCCACCACTTTTAGGGGTTTGAGGGTTTCTCATATTTGAAGGGTTTGAGGTGTTTGCTCGAAAATTCAAACAATGATAAGCGTTATTTCGAGAAGACAAACACATACCTCAAAATCAGTCTCGTCAAACGATTATTGGAGGAGATTAGAATATTATCATGTGGAATCTTTAGATGAATTTTGGTCTATTTTGAGTGAGTTTCATGAAAAATCAATCATATGAAAAGAAAGATGAGTGAAATGTGAAAGTTTTGATATCAGTCTTATCGCAAAAGACAACCGGTGACATAAGGCAATTGACTGACAATGACAAAATAAAACTTAGTGCCTAAAATGAAATATTTTTAAAGTTTAGCCAAAAATTGATATGCCACTAAAATTCAGTATCTAAAACAAAGTCATTTTGGACATCAATATTCGTGTAAAAATGATACATTTTGTTTGTGTCATCACAATGATCGAAAGATTCATCCACATCCTTATGTCTTTAAAATTTAACAGTTCAATGATATAATTAAGTCAAAATCAAAATTTAATACTATAGTTTAAACTAATTAAAGTTTAGTGGTAAAAACATTATAATGCCTCATATTCAATGTAATGTAGTTTATCCTCTAAAAGAAATTATGTGGAGTCATGGATAAATGGGTTAGCTTAGCAGTTGCTGAGATGCGGCTGAGGGCCATGGCCCATGGCCAGTGTGAGAATGAAGACCATGAATTAATGTCACTTTCATTTATGTCCGCCTGCCTAACATCTCCACTTCAATCCTTTTGTTTATATCTATTTAAATATTATTTTGTGAAATTGATGAGCTGTAATGCCCAAAAGTCGGAGTCTTCCACTTTAATATATGTTGGTTGCTGACAATGTACAACTCATATCCAAACATTCTTTAAATATGAACTCAATATTTTTTATTGTGCTGACTTCTATTTTTAAATCTAGCTCTAATTAATTTAGATTAATTTAGGTCGTAAATCTGATTTTAGTGAATGAGTCCTCCAACGAGAATTTTTTGCATATATAAAAACTCAATCTAAGACTTTACTTAAACGATATTAAACTGCTTACCGCTTAAATCAACACAGTTAATAACTCAACTCAACACCTTGATTGATTGACTTGTTTGTGATTTTGTTCATTACGTTACAACTCCTATATATTTGGCTTCTTCTTTCAAATATTATATATATTTTTATTCTAAGACATGTTTATATATTTATATATCATATTATGCAAGCTTACCGACGTTGACTGTATAGAAATCTGGCAAGAAAATGATGTGATAATCAAGGTTGGCCATTCCCCTTTTAGGCAACACCCAATAGCCAAATGCATTTTGTATTCTACTTTTTGTTGATAATGATAAAAAAGTGTTTGGTGTATGGAATTTAAAATTATCAATATAATTTGTATTTTGGAATATAAAAAAAATTAATTGACCCTATTTTCATATGTGATTGGGTGAGGAGAGGTAAGGTAGTAGGCTGCCCCCAACACCAGATTGAGAGCAGTTTCCGTGGAAGACCTCAGACAATTAAAATTATGAATTGTCCACCATAAGTCTCGATCTCATGACCACAAGGTTAAGAACCTTACGAATGAGCTAAAAATTTAATAATACGGGATGTAATCACACCTCCTTACATTCCCTTGGTTTTTTGTGCAACCGACTGATAAAATATCAAAGCAGTCTTTATACTACACCTTATATTGTATTTTGATTTTATAAAATTTTTAAAATATATGAAGAAAATCTGAAATTCACCAAATATTATTAAAGAAACATCAGTAAACCAAATGCAATGGTACTTAAAGTCCACTTAAGTGCCTCAAAAATAAAACAAACGTTAATTTGTTCATTTGATTTAATTTTCTTTTCTTAATAAATTAACTCAGATCAAATACTGTAGATGTCTATAATAGAATGATCCTTCCAATTCAAAAATTTTAATATTTAAACTTGTGACATTATTTAAAAAATATAATATCTCATCCCAATAAATTAACAAGTCATTAATAGTTTACTATTTTTTTTAACAAAGCCTATAGAGTCAATGTCATGGGTTGTAATTTCCCAACTTAAAAAGTGAAAACGAATTCATAGCCGCCAACACCACTAGATGACTGTGTTACATATTAATTCAGTGGTGTACCAATGCTAATTGTGATACATATTAATTCAGTGGTGTTACATAGCAGTCAACACCAGTGCTAAATCTTCTTTATAGTGGTGTTGGCTGCTATGAATTCAATTTTCACTTTTTAAGTTGGGAAATTGCAACCCATGACATTGACTCTATAGGCTTCATTAAGAAAAAAAAGGACAGTAAACTAATATTTAATATATCTACTTGTTGTTGTGTTCAAATAAGCTTTTTGAATTATTGGAGTTGAGCTGCTACATGAAAAGTTCATGCACCTGTGAACATAAATCATTACATCCATCTTAATTGTTTTTAAATATATATTTTCCCACGTTTTATTCGAGCACTAGGCTATATCCCCGTCCCGTCACCACCCTTGAAGAAAGAGAGAGGATATTTCCTAGAAATTATGGACCTAGTGGATATACCTTTTGAAAAGTATGAAATAATATTAGTATAATCAAGTAATAGTACTCTTTTGACTATTTTGACCAGCCCAACTTTTGCTTTTTTGTTCTCGTCGTGTTGTCTACTAATGTGTATAAATACTGTTGTTTTGAGCTTATATGATCTGTTCTTGCCATCTCCATTACAGAGCTAACAAGCCAACAACAGCCCAGATTTGTTAAGCTTTTGGAGAGAAAACAATGGGGAGAGCTCCGTGCTGTGAGAAAATGGGATTGAAGAAAGGTCCTTGGACACCCGAAGAAGATCAGATTCTCATCACTTACATTAATCTCTACGGCCATGGCAACTGGCGAGCACTCCCCAAACAAGCTGGTATTTTTTTTCCTTTCACTTGCTTTTAACTACTAACTCGGAAATTTCTAGTTTTTTATCTTTTGCTGATGTTGTCCTCTCTTAATTTCTTTTGTTTTTTTCCAGGTTTATTGAGGTGTGGAAAGAGTTGCAGGCTTCGTTGGATAAACTATTTGAGGCCAGACATTAAACGAGGGAATTTCACCAGGGAAGAAGAAGATACCATTATCGACTTACACAAAACGCTTGGTAATAGGTGAGCGTTTACATATTGATTTGCATTCGGACAGATGCATGGTTAGGGAAGTGAATTTATAAAATTCTAAAAGAGAATTAATTTATCAAATTTTAGGGATTACAGTAGATTTTTCAATATAAAATATAAAGAAAATATCTAAAATTTGTAGAGAAACGATCGCTCCATGTCGTTCAATCTCTGGATTTGCATATTCCAAGTTCCATCTTTTAGTAGGATAAATTTGAGTTCATATCAATTTTTTGCATATGCAGATGATTGGTCCTATTGGACTGTTTCTAGTTTGAAGTTGCTGTTTATTCACAGATCTGCATTGGTTTGATAACCATTTTGTAATTAATTAGGTTATAGATATAATCGTAAAAACATGTGGAACTGAGAAGATTCGGTGCTTAGAATAGTCGCCATGTTTCTTATATATTTGTTTCTTATTACAGATGGTCGGCAATCGCGGCAAGATTACCGGGACGAACAGATAACGAAATAAAAAATGTTTGGCACACCCACTTGAAGAAGAGGCTGAAACCGAACCATGGTTCCAATGACAACAAACGACAAACCAAACCCAACCTCGATTCATCCAAAGAACAACAACCCATGGATTTTCTAAGAACGACTGCAGATACGCCAGGTTCCCCACCAGAATCGACCAGCGAGGTTTCCACAGTAACCACAAGCGAAAACAACAGTAACATGTGCACGACCAAGATTGAAACACACGAAGATCACGTGTCTGAGATCGACGAGAACTTCTGGTCGGAAGTATTGTCGGCCGACAATTCAGGCATGGCCGGCGATTTTCGAGTTTTCGGTTCGGACACGCAACTTCATCATCAGTACTTTCCAAGCTCACCATTACTAAAGTTGGAACCGGTCAATGACTACGGTACAACTATATATGAATCGGATACTAACATGGATTTCTGGTATAATCTTTTTGCTAGAGTTGGGGATTTATCAGAATTACCAAAATTTTGAGTTGCTAGTTTAGTTATTGTAATTAACTTATGGATCTCGTTAATTGGTTGTATTGTAACCCTTTTGTTTCTTTATTTGTTCTCAAAATAAGTTATATTTCATAATAAATCTAATTTGATAATTGTTAAATTAACAATATTTTCACTGTGGAAATTCGTTATAAATCTATGGGTTAATCACACGGATTATTATTTATGTTTATGTTTTATCTATTTTTAGGTAACTTTTGTCTTTAGTTAATTGTCGTAAACAACAGTTAAATATTTTGATATAATCACACATTTGATCCATGTTATTTATATATTATCTCAATTTAATCATACTTTTAATAAATTAAAATAAATTTAATCTCTAATCGAATGATGAAGCGTGTCATGTCACGTGTCACTAATTAGAGGACGAACTTTATTTATTTTAATATATTTATTTCAATCAATCATAGAGTAACATGTGTTACTCTCTGGTTGAAAGAAAAACAAAATAAAACAAATTAAGATAAAAAGATTCAAACCTTGATAACTTAGGAAACTAAACATGTATCTAACCATTAAGCCAAGACAATTGCTTGGTCTAAAATAGACAACATGATGTATATATTTAATATTTTAATGTATAAATAGTTAAATTCATAATATTTTTTATATATTAAATTAAAAATATTTTTATGTTAACTTATCAAATATATTTTATTATTAAATTAATTTAAAAACATTTTATTTTAGTTTCATTTAAAATATATATTTTATGTTAAAATTTATTTAAAAGTATGACTAAATTGAGAGAATATGTAAATATAGGGACAAAATGTGTGATTATACCAACTATTATATCACATATTTTGTTAATTGTTAATAGTCGTTAACCTGTGATGATTATATCTTAATTAAATAAAAACAAAAGTGATCATATATTAATTAAATAAAAAAGAAATTGACTATATCTTATTTTTTTTTGAAATTATCAAAAGTGGATAAAATACAAATATAAATGATCATACGTGTAGTTAATCCTAAATATATATAAGAGAAAATAACCTCAGTGACCGAAAATGCCTTGTAATATACGATTTTGATTGCGATTCATTCCAATTTGTTGCGATAGGCGAAGTTCGCATTGCGATTCATTCCAATTCGTTGCGACAGGCGAAATTCGCATTGCGATTCATTCCAAATTCGTTGCAATTGGCGAAGTTCGCGTTGCGATAGTCCAAATATTGCATTTGTTTCTTAAGAATTTTCTCTAAAAATATAGAATTTGCGCGGACGTGTCGAAGACACGTATTACCACGACCACGACCACGACCCGAGACGGGACGGCGGCCGCGACGCGCGAGAGTCCCCCTTGTTCTCTATCACTCAACAAGGAAGTGGGAAAGCCAAACCTTAAATACCATTCCCAATAGTGTTTCCAATACTATGTGAGATTGAGCATTACCAACACTTGTTTCCAATACCATTACCTTCATTTTTGTAAGAGTTTAATTTTGAAACTAAAAAAATATTTATTCGAATAAATAACTTACCCTTTGAGGACTTTGATCATAAATGAAGTAATTGCTAAAACTAACTCTGATTCAAGTTCTTATAGTGTTCAAATGACTTACTTGTAAAGAGTAGATGATGACCAAACAACTCGATATGTTTCCTTTGTGTCATTATCAGCTAGTTTTCGTAGCATCCTCAGTTGAAAACTTCCATCATTGTCTCCTTTGCATTTGTTTGGTTAATATTTTTCTTCCATCAAAATCCTCAAAGGGTAAGTTATTTATTCGAATAAATATTTTTTTAGTTTCAAAATTAAACTCTTACAAACAATGAAGGTAATGGTATTGAAAATAAGTGTTGGTAATGCTCAATCCCACATAGTATTAGAAACACTATTGGGAATGGTATTTAAGGCTTGGCTTTCCCACTTCCTTGTTGAGTGATAGAGAATAAGAGGGACTCTCGCGCGCCGCCGCCGTCCCGTCCCGTCTCGGGTCGGGTCGTGGTCGTGGTCGTGGTCGTGGTCGTGGTAATACGTGTCTTCGACACGTCCGCGCGAATTCTATCTTTTTAGAGAAAATTCTTAAGAAACAAATGCAATATTTAGACTATCGCAACGAATTTGGAATGAATCGCAACGCGAACTTCGCCTATCGCAACGAATTGGAATGAATCGCAATGCGAAAACTTCACCTGTCGCAACGATTTGTAATGAATCGCAACGTGAACTTCGACTATCGCAACGATTTAGAATGAATCGCAACGCGAACTTCACCTATCGCAACGAATTTGGAATAAATCGCAATGCGAACTTCGACTATCGCGTTGCGAATATGGAAACTAATTTGCGATACCGGAAATCGCGTTGTGAATTATCGATTGCATTGCGATTTACTTGGTCATTTTGACAAATCCAAAAAAAATTGACCAAAATCGTATATTACAAGACATTTTCGGTAACTGAGGTTATTTTCTCTATATATAAAACATTTTTTTCTATTAAATATATAGCCACTACCCATTAAGATAATTGCCACTAAAAAAAAGAGCCACGCGCACGCGCATTTTAAAATGTCCACTTCATATATATATATATGGCTTAATACAAAAAAAGTGTATAGACTATATAATGTTTTTCGAATATGTACCTTAACTATTTTTTAACTCATATTAGCATCTAATATTTTCTCCGTTACTATTTTATGTGTCTGGTCATTAACCGTCGTTAAAAATCTGTTAAATAACATATGTCATATTCTAGTAATTCTAAAAATTTATTTTTTTAAAAACCTGCGTAATTTCATCCTCCACCCCACCCCCATCATTACCTTAGCATGTGCTCTCTCCATCATCCCCATGTTTCAATTAATTATATTTTGGGTTGGAATTAATAATAAATTTGAGATTACCGTCAAAGTTTGGGTTTTAGGTTTAAGAATTTATAAATTTAGGGGATTTGGTGTTGGATCGGTTGTGAAAGTATAGGGATTATGTTTGTGGGTAGGTGGTACATCCTATGTTATTGGGTGTTCAGTCGATTGTCGAGGTTGATGGTGTCGACAGTGACAAAGAGACTAAAATTAAAGTTTTAAAAGTTTTAATTTTTTTTAAAATTTGAAAAAATAGTTTTTTAATAAAATTCTCAAAATTACCAGAAGGAACGGCAATTAACATTCGAATACCTAAAATTATAATAGAGAAAATGTTATGCACCTACAATAGTAACGGAGAAAATGTTAGACACCGAAATGAATAAAAAAATAGTTTAAATACGTATTTGAGAAAAAATGTATAATTTGAATACTTTATTTATATTAAGCTTATATATATATATATATATATATATCAATTTGACAACGGCTAGTTAATTTCTTTTCTCACACTCACGAATTAATTTATAATTTTATTCTGTCCACCAAAGGTAATGGATTTCGTAGCAGATTTGGAGTCATCAATAAATAGGGATTGTTTTAGAAAAGACGGAGTAATATACAGTTAATATACGTTATTACCGGATACATTAAAAGATATTTGATAAATTTGGTTTTCGTAGCAGATTTGGAGTCATCAATAAATAGGGATTGTTTTAGAAAAGACGGCTACCGGAAATATCGAGTAATAATAATGTAATAGGTGGAAATCATGAAAAAATATTAAAAAATTTGGTAACCGGTAAACTTAGCTTGTCGTTTTGTGTCAATACTTTATAAAAATATATTGATCCATAACAATATAACAGGTAAAAAAATGACAAAATCGGTCTATAAATGACAAAACGGGTAAAGCGCTACCGGATATATTGAAAGTGTTGATACTTTATAAAAATGTATCGATCCATAACAATATAACAAGTAAAAAATGACAAAACCGATCTATAAATGACAAAACAGGTAAAGCGCTACCGGATATATTGAAAGTGTCGATACTTTATAAAAATGTATCGATCCATAACAATATAACAGGTAAAAAAATGATAAAACCGGTCTATAAATGACAAAACAGGTAAAACGCTATCAAATATATTGAAAGTGTCGATACTTTATAAAAATGTATGGGTCCATAACAATATAACAGGTAAAAAAAATGACAAAACCGATTTATAAATGACATAACAGGTAAAGCGCTACCAGATATATTGAAAGTGTCGATACTTTATAAAAATGTATCGATCCATAACAATATAACAGGTAAAAAAAATGATAAAACCGGTCTATAAATGACAAAACAAATAAAGCGCTACCGAATATGTTGATAGTGTCGATACTTTATTATAAGTATCGACACTTTTGGAATTTAAAAGAGAAGAAGTTATAGCGCTAATAAAGTGTCGATGCTTTATAAAAATGTATCGGTCCATAACAATATAAAAGATAAAAATATGACAGAAACGGTTTCGAAATGACAAAATCGGTAAAGAGCTACCGGATATGTTGAAAGTGTCGATACTTTATAATAAATATCGACACTTTTGGAATTTAAAAGAAAATAAGTTATAGCGTCAATAAAGTGTTGATACTTTATAAAAATGTATCAATCCATAACAATATAACAGGTAAAAATATGACAAAATCGATCTCGAAATGACAAAATCGGTAGTAAAAAAAATGTGCTTGTGTGGTCATTTTTATTTCAGAATTTTCATTTTTAATACAAAAAGTTGGATATTTTAAGCAAAACACAGTAAGAAAAGAACAAAAACTTTGCAGTAATAAAAGAATAACATTGGGAAACCCACCATGTTATCAGTTTTTCAAAGAACAAAAACCCATAAACAGGTAAATTTACAATGTAACCGGTAAAAATATATTGGTTAATTAGCAAATAAGTTTACATTATGTATCGGCACTCTTTAAATATGTGTCGATACTTTTTCCCCAAAATGAAAGCACAACGAGGTGCACGCATAAAGTGTCGATACATATAAAATTGAATTAATTCCAAAAACATCAAAACCGATAATTATAATGTAATAGGTAAATTTACAATGTTACCGGTTTAAATATATCTGTTTAGTTAGAAAATATGTTAATATAAGCGCTACCTATTACAT